AGCCTCGTGGAAGGGACAGTACTCTGCAAGAGATCTGCATCATCATCATGTTTTTTTCTGCATTTCTGGAGCTGACGTAGGGACACCGAGCCCAAACGTGTTACTCTGGGCTCAGGAGTATAGTAAGGACAGAGCAACGCGAAGGCAGCACTTCACGGAGGAGTTCCCAGAATGGGTCAGCTGGTGGCCTTGGCAGACCTGCTCCACCCTGGAAAAGCTGTGAGAGCTGGCTGGAAGGTGCTTCTGAGCCCAGTGAGCTTCAGCTTCTCCACCTAATGACGCACCCAGCTTCAGTCTGACTGTTTAATAGATATTATTAACCTGCTCCCTCGGACTACAGAAGCAGCTGTTCAAATCTGTTTTACAAGAACTTGTTAAGAACCGATAAAGTACTGAAGGCAGCTATGTAAACACCGGGAAGCACGGAGCGCTCAAGGTCTTGGATTGCCCTCAGGCTGCTGGAGCCCAGGTAGTACCAACAGAAAAGCACCCTTGTGCTCCACCCTCAGGTTCTAGCCACCGAGAACCCCCTTCTTGGAAGGTGCTTGCCCGTGTCACCATGGAGCCCAGGCCCTGCCTGATCACGTCTCCTGCCTGTACCGGAGAACAGGAGTTGCAGAGTCTGGAGCAGCAACCATCTGCCAAAAGAGATGGACACTGCCAAGTGAGAAGAATTGGTGCGACAGACCTAATGGTTTAAAAATGAGAGGGACTAACTGGAGGAGGGACCTAAAATAGCAGCGTGTCTTCAGAGAATTCACATGGGAAGGTGGGTAGGCAGTAGATGACAAGCAGAGCTAAGGAGATGGGATGCCAACATGACATAACCTTGTAGCGGCTACTCCCTTCCCATAGCTTTCCAAGAATTAATCTCCCTCTGGAAAAGGGGTGTTTACCCAGATAAGTTGTTACTCGTTGCACAATCCAGCAAAGGGAACCCAAGTTCCTTTGCTGTAAGACTTTGGATGTCCTTGGATGACAAAGGCAACCCCTTACTGGGTACCTCAGAAATACATTCCCTCTACGCTTACCCCAAACCCACCTAAACAAATGCTGTAGCTGCCTCGGGAGTCCCCAAACACAGAAGCCACAAGCCGGCGACCATGGCAGGACAGGAGGCTGGCAGCGCTTCTTCACTGACTACTTCAAGTGCTCTCTGGGCCACTGGAGATTCAGACATGGAAGCCACTGTTCCTTACTGTTAGAAAAGGCCTGCTTGAGCCTAAACTAAAACACAACTTGAAGCACTTCAAACTTAAAATGCCACCTTCTACCCAGGAAAGCTACCAAGCCCCTGGGCTGGGTTTTTCTGAAGGTTTAATCTGGGAAGGGTCAAACTTCCAGGGAGCTTCTGTGCTGAATGTTGTATTGAACTTGGATCTTCAGTCTAATAAGGGAAGAAAACAGCAACATCTAAATAATACTAACAAACTGTCTTCCACAGAAGCCTGTTCACGTCAAGAAGGGAAAGCCTTGATGCACCCATTCCTACCGGGGAAACACCGCTTTGATTCATCTGTTTTGAAACCCTGGAGCAACAAGAACAAGCTGTGGTTGCGCCCCGTGGCTGGTACGTGCCTGTGAGCCATACCGGTGTTTCAAAGGACTCTAATGGAACGTCAGAGCCCACAGGTGGGATGGGAGAACTGCTCCCAGAGATGTCCTCTGCTCCCAGCAAACACTCAGCCTGCCCCTCAGCACCCTTCAGCTGCTGTTACTCGCCACCGCCACCCTCCCAAAAGAAGTTTTCCTATTAGATCTACCAAAGAGAAAGAAAAGCAGCGCACACGGGAGTTAGGCACCAATTCCCAACAGCTCAACACAAGCAAACGTTGAGCCATTTTGGGGTATCTGAAGCCCACCCTCCGGTGCTCTGCCAGTGATCAGGCAAGCCATCTCACCAAGGACTGTCAGGGAGGTCTTAAAGGAGCACTTGGCTCTGTGTCCACGAACTACTTCATCTACCTGAAGGCTCTAATGCTAAGAATCACAGTCTCCAGCTGTATATTGGTAATATTAATGGGCATTTACGAGTTTCACGATAAATCCTTACTTGTTTGGGTCTCATACCAAGAATCACAGGAACTACAAATCTTGGGCCGCATCTCTAAGCCTACGCCCATCTCTTCACTACCACTATGTCAAACAACTGTTCTATGTGCTCATAACTAAAAAATGAAGAAAAGCAGCAATAAATTATGTATTTGCACTACTGAGTTTCCCAGAGCAGAGAAGCTGCTGCAATCCATTGCATCAATTTTAACATGTGCAAGGCTATTTTTAAAAACCCTACAAATATGAGGAATGACAGTGTTTAGCTCTATCTTATACTTGTCACACAAGCCTGGGAAGAGACAGCAGAAGCAGGACTCTGGGTATATGGAACATGAGACACGTTGCAAGCAGTTAAAACTCCTTCCAGATCACCTTCATGGCCTGTACCTGGCTGTCAGGGTGGAAACGAGGGAGCAGACTATCCCATTTAGCTTCCCTGAGGGACGTCCTCAGATCTTTCTTGAAGCACCTGCTGTTGGCTAGCATCAGTTTATTTGCTTTTTTTCAAGGTTGTATCGTTTTTTATTCCTGTTTTATTAAAGCATAGAGGACAGCCAAACTGTCCCTCATGTTGGCCCTGGAGATTTTATCTGACAAACCATTTTGCCTGGAAGCTTTGTCATATGAAAAAAAGGCAGTGGACTTCAGGATACTGAGCAGGCCAGGTCTGCAGGGTAGTTCTTACGGTCCTGTCATGCAGCTGTCAGAGGAGTCAAGCAAAGCGGGCTGAATAACTCGCTATTTAAATCACAGCTTTGCTTGGCTTCATTTGTAGTTCCACCCTCAAACAAAAATTGCAGCTGATGAAGAGTCATTTCGCATCAGAACAAAGTGACTTGAGGTTTAACCACTCCGGAGCGACGTGGCAGAGCTGATGGCAGGACTCCACCACCAAATCCCATGTCTTTCTGGGATATCTGCACTTTCCAAAACAGGAGCGAGCTTTCACAATGCTCCGTTAGGAAAGCTGCTACACCACCTCACACCGGGAAGGCGATTAGATCGTGCCGCTCATGGAGGTTCTCCTTGCTGAACAGGCCCTGCAAACCTTTCTGGCAGGGCTCCCATGGACAAACAAGTCTTATGGTTATTCAGTAACCAAAAAAGAAAAAAAAAAAATCAGGCGGTCATGGTCTCTTAAAAACTTAGCTGAAGACCAAATCTGGGCCAAAGGCTGTAAATTTCCCACCACTGGATTAAATGCTGACTGTGTTCACTGGATCAAGGGAGACATAAGTCCATGGCTTTGCCATAGGCTTGTCACATCAGGAAATGGTGCCCTGCTCCTGTCTGCATGCAGCTGATTCTAGGGAAGGCAGAGCACAAATTTAAGATAAAAAATAAGAATCGTGCTTTATTTATGTTTGCAAAACTAATTCAATTTGCATCTCACGTACTAGCTTGCTAGGACAGTCCTTCTATCACCAGTCTTATCCAAAGTATTTGAGTCTCCTTACTGAGAGCCTTCCCTGATCCCAAGGAGGTACTGACTCTATTCCTCAGCCTTGTCTAACATGTCCTTCTGACCTTTCCAAGAGCAGACACACCAGCACCCTCACCGGCTCTGCCAGCACTCACCTACCCTCACCAGCCACTGTTAATGTTTAGCTTGGGCTCCCCTAGCCGAGTTACACGCCTGCGACCACATCCTGCTCACACTGATCACAGGATAAATCATTCCCTTCCTCTCTGAAGGCACCGTTGACACGAACCCCGTTCAGTCCTCTAGATTAGACTCCTCCAATTCTTTCCCCCTCTCCTCTTAAGACCATCTGCCCTTGTTACACCCTGCCAGACTTTAATAATTGGTCTGCAGCTTTCTTAAATGGCTGTCCCTGAATCGGGCACAGCACTAGTAGTAAGCCTTAGCTGAACTAGGAAGTAGCACGGAAGGATTACTAGGCATTTACCAAAAATTCCTGCTCTGTCACAGTACAAAAGTGCTTTCTGCAACAGCATCACCAATTCCTTGATGGCTGCTCTCAGATCACTTTCCACAGAACCGCTAACAAGCCACTTTCTACCCAGTAATTGTGCAACTGGATGCTCTCGTTTCACTTTAGCACTTTTCCTTGTCCCTTCTTTGGTCGCACAGCTTTTCTTCCGAATCATTTTTCCGATCTCTCAAAATCATGTTGAATCCTAACCCAGTTTGCTTACAGTCTTCCCTGGTTAGGGTCTGCTAATGACTTAAAAGCCCTGCCCCACGTACTGCATTCCACCAGCTCTGGTCTTCAAGCAGCAGCAGTTCATCCACCCCTTACTTCAGACTATCCCCATTTAAATTGGACGGGGACCCTGTAATGGGAAGGAATGGGCACTGACACACAAACGCGCAGCAGAGAGTCCTCATTCCCCCAGGGTGGAATCACAGTAACGCCACTCATTCTGCAATATGTTATTTACACCCTTACCTTTAATTTTCTGTTTGTACTCTTCTGGTCGGTGGAGGTACATGGCTGCAGCGTCACCATTTAGAGGATCTATAGGGTTAGGATAGGCCAGCAGCTGGGGCAGGAACGATTCAAATATATTGGTGAGATCTGCAAGTGAAAGACACAGTTGTTCATGTCCACAGACCCACAGACAGTCTGATTAATCCTCCCGCAAGCACCAGCACTGGAACAGCAGCACAAAGCTTCAAGGGCAAACGCACTGAAAATCTGGACGCAAGTTAAATTAAGGGAAACTGCATCGGGGAAAGCACATACGGGGCTGATGAGAGAGCTTCTGCTGCTGCTGGAGGTATGCTGCAGCTCCTCAGCTAACTGCACAAACTACTCGACATACCAACAACGTAGATGCAGGTATCTGTGGGTTAAGCAAAGTGGAAGGACACAATTGTCTTGTTTCCCATTGAGGCTCAGCCCTGGCTTAAAACAAAGGAAAAAAGAAAACGAAAGCGCTGTGCTTCACCCCTCACTGAATTCTTCTCCTACTTCTGCCTCCTTCTATTACCGTCTTTAAATGTCTTATGCTCCATGACTAAATTAACGTATCTCAAGTATAAAGCATCTTCCAAAGTGCTTTAGATGATTGTGTTAATAGAAAGAGCAACCAACAAGTCCCTCTTCCAGCTCAAAACAATTCGCAGAATGTGAAGAGATCACATTAACACCTTGGTGCCAGTTGGCATCTGTCACTAAATAATCCACAACAGGAAACATACTTCTGGTGCCGATGAGTAATTGTGGATACACGAAACCCTCTTCCCACATCCCTAAGACGACAAGTACCGCATTTCAGCTGTGGGGGTGTTTAGAAACAAGCCCTGCGTCATCATTTCTCCTTGGGGGCTTCAGAAGGACCACGCGCACCCACACAGAGGAGAGATTAAACCCCCAGTGCAGGGCTGTGCGCCAGGTTTCACTTTAGCCACTGGAGAGCTGGTGATACAGGTAGACCAGCATTCGTCACGCGGGGGTTTCTGTTGGGTTTTGTTTGTGAATACAAAAGATGTGAGCTGTCAGAAGGGAAGCCCAACGCTCCCCAAGATCCACCACGTGAGCAGTTAACCATCTCAACCTGCCTCTTACAGGAACAAGGCTGTGTGACTACTCCCGAGCCCAGCCATCGCCGAGCCTCATGGAGCTGCTAAATTCAACCAGATCTGACGGAAGGCAGGGACCTCAGAGCCCTTAACTTTCTAAAAGATTCATCAGAATGGGTGGGCAGGTAGGGGGAGAGATCTCCAAGTGCTCTCCCTGTGCAAACGGTTACTCTGGCTCTGGGCTGCAGCCACAGAAAACCAGGCTCTAACTCCATCGCCAGCAATGATACAGCCCCGGAAGAGCTGCACAGTAGGTCCAGGCAGATCATCACCACTGCCCAACGTTACCACCTCTGCAAGTCTACCAACGGGCATGCTTTCGGAATGTGCTTTCAGATCTTGCTCAAGAGGATCAAAGGAGACTCGAGGTTTTGTGAGTTCTTCCCTCCTGCATCAACACGTCTGGGACGTACAGACACTGCGCTATGCCTACTTCAGTCACCCATTCAGCATAAACCCTGCTGAGCAGGAGGAAAGGCCATGGCTTTATAGACGCAGGAGCGCAGGGTTCATTACAGCTGATACTGCATCACCCAACTGCAAAAAGTAATGACATCGATTGCTATGGATAGCGATCGGCTGGTCTCTGCTATACAGGGACACCACTAAGAAATTACGTGGCTTTACCCTGAAATTTCTTTCTACTATAGAAGCTGTTGCTCCTTCCAATACTGGCAGAGGACAGTGACAAAGCCCTTTAGAGCGCACATGGTACCTTGACCAAGTTTGCCGTGGCTGGCATGCTGAGCAGTCAGGTGCCGCCAGCTGCTTCTAGGATAAGCACAACAGCAACTGGAAGAAGGATCCTAAATCCGAAAAGGGACCACAAAAAACAGTGAGAATGCTCTATAAGAATACTTTCTGCCATGGTAGTGGCTTGTCCTTGGTAAACCAATTAACCCTCCTAGGGACTGGGTTCAAACACTATCAGCAAGAAGTTGGGTCAAGTCTCTCCATGGAACAGGCTTAGATCAAGTATTTCTTTGTGGCTGTTAGACAACTAAACTCCCACATAGACCAAGCAGGCAGGGCCGTGGAAGGCCACCATGGCTCACAGGACACTGCAGGGATTTTTCTTTTTTGCTTTAAGAGACCTCAGTAATTTCCCCCTTCTTTCAAATCCCCAAAAGCGGCATTGGTTTAACTAGTTGAACATGTGTGGGAAGCCTAACTGTAGTGCTAAGGACTTGATACTTCATTAGGGAAGGAGAGGGAATTTAACCACGGGTTCTCATGAATTTATTGGTAGCTCTTCTGGGTCTCTTCCACCTTAGCTGCTTCTTGAATTATCTGACCCATTTCCTCTGCCAGCGCAGGAGCGCTCTGGTTTAAAGGGGTGACACTCCAAACAACACAGCTATGCCGAGAGGCACCGGGGAGTATTATTTCCCCCTTTTCATTCCACGTTCAGAAATGGGCCACCTCCTGACTTCAGACAGGGAGGCAAAGCCCTGGAAGTGAAGAGGTGATGTAGGCACTCTAGTGCGGCTGACTTCCGAGTGAAGGGGCAGAGCGAATGCAGTCACCCCAGTGTCCTCCCTGCAGCTTCAAGGCATCCTGCAGCAAGGCAAGGGAAGTCTGCAGCGACTGTCAAGCGATGCGCTTTCTAATGCCTCGTTTCATCGGTTACTGTGGAAAGTGCTCTGTACGGAACATGCAACTGACACCTTCAAGTTGCCTTACGCCTATCACTGACATCACAAGGAAAAACAGAGATTTTTGCACGCTTGCTGATATTAATACATCGCAAGCACAGCAAATGCCAAAGTTGTTTTTTCTACCTTTGCGAGGAATAATGACGACAAAAATACAGCAGTACTCATTAGGAAACCTCTCACAGAAAGCCCTCCTATGAAGTTGTTTGGAAATAGTGCAGAAACCCCGCTGTGACCGTCTGTGAGAGCGTGCTGCAGAACAGGGAGGCTACCCATGCATGGCTTCCAAAGCAAAACCCAGATTGCCAGAGCACAAAAAACAGCACCACAGTTACACTGGAGCGATTTTCTTTTGTCCAGCCATCCCCACGATCTGCAGGTGGCATTTTAAGGGTTGGAACAGCAGCACACGCTGCACTGTGCCGGATTCTGCTGCAGACTGAACCATGCAGGTTCATCCCCAGCAGAGGGCTTGGTTTGCTAACACCGCTTTAATTCCTCCATCTCGCATGAGATCCTCCCAGGACACAAGAGCATCCCCCTCCTCCATTACCAACACCACCTGGGTCACGGCTAAGCTGATCTCTCACAACAAAACCATGTGAAGTGCATGCCACGCAGCTACTACGTGAAGACTGCAGGCATTCTGATGAGGAGTGAAGTTCAACAAGTTGCTATAGCAATTTTTCACCCAGGATTCACCAAGTCTGATATTTTCTTACAAATTGTGCTTGCGAGGAAGGTGAAGTAGCTTGTCTCTCTAGCAACTGCTTCAAAGCTTCAGCTTACATAGGTAAAATCAGTTTTTCATGGAAGAACGTGAAGGATTTGATGTGCACATTCCCCTGAATAGTCTTCCACAAAGCATAGCTGGAACATCTGAAGAAGTTCACGTTTTTAAAATGCAGCCAACCTAGACCAGATACTCAACCGTATTCCTTTTAACAATCTCAGCTTTCCCTAAATGCTATTTTAACAGGTCTTCAGCTACCAGCTAAGCTTTCTGTATCTCTAAAAAGGAGAGTTATAGCCAGACACGACCTAATGGGAAACCCAAAACATTCTGCAGCAAGCAGTGCAGTCATTAGATGCACTACCACCTCCTAGCCTGCAATGGAATGGTGCTGCCATGACAAACAGGAACGGTTTCTGGTGCCATCTTCTGTAGAAGTGGGATCATAGCCCTGTGCACAAAGAATACCAGCTCGAATGCACGTACAAAACGTGGATGGGGTAGCTGGAACTAGGTTTCACTTTAGATACAGTCACTCCTCTCTTTCAATGCTGAATCACGGCTGGGTGCTGTCGTGCAGTTGCCAGACACTGCCAAGCAATGGATTCAGCGATCCTTTGTGAGGTTTATGGAATATTTTCACATCTCTGGCATAAAACCAGGTTACGAAAGTATTTTCACATGAAAATCTTATTTTTCACGTGATCTTGGCTCAGTGAGGAGTCTAAAACTTCAGTTAAAAAAGAAAAACCACAAAAAGAGTTGGCCTTAGATCAGCCGTATCCAGCAAGCTGTGTTGTGTCAACACACCAAATAAGGATGCTCACGTGATCAGCTTTCGGGGAAATGCCAAACTCACCGTAGAGAGCTGTCCAAGTTTGATTGATTACATCTAGACATACAGTTCCTGACCTGAAACATATGGAAAGGATGGAATTAAACACAGTCACACTCAAAAATACTCTGGGGATTTAATATAATCTACCCCCTCCCTTCCCCTGCCCTGCCTCTGCCCCACTGTTTCAGATAAGCTATGATTTACTCCTGCCTTGTGGTTAATAGAGGGGCAGCCTTTAACTACATGAATCTTCATACTCTGCACAAAAGTAAGTAAATTGGAGCCATTACTGAATTAGTTGGTCTGTGTGGGGCTCTGCTGGAGAGACTAAAGCATAGGTGGCTCCCCCTCAACAAACCTTAACTGAAAAAAGCGTGGCAAAACATCTTATGTTTTGAAGAATTTTGGTATGGACGTGAACTTCAGCTAAAGAGGGAGCTGTGGCTTAGCTGACGCTGTTCCTTGTTTCTAGAAAGCCGGCATAATGCCAATGAGGAGGGGGACTGGCAACCCTGAATTTTCTGTAAATGAAGCATGTTGCAATACAAAGACTGCATCTCCAAGAGAGTCTGCAGCATGCAGCTCTCTAGTCTTGCCCACAGCCTGAGCCGCTCCTGGACGTTAACCTGCGACAACATCTACTTCTATCAGACCCCCCACTCTGGACTCTTAGATTGATGAAAGCATTATTTAACTCATCAGCATATTATTGTGAAGCCAAAATACAGTTACAATTAGACAAACTCCTTAGAAAAACCACACACTAGTGATTTACTTACGCTTCGTCAATGTTGGGATGGAAAATTTTATTCATGAATCCTGCAAAGAGACACACTGGTAAATAGCAGAAAACAGCCAAAGATTTTTTTTTTTTTTAAACAAGAGAAGTCTGGAATTTACTGAACAAGGACTCATCTGACTAGTTTCAAAGAAAACCCAGCCTTAGCCATATATAGCTATGTAACCTTTAAAATACGCAGGCAACATTCTGACCCTAGGGTCCTTGTCCATTCCCTCGAAATTCAGCAAAACCCTCTGCTTACAGTGCAACTGTACCACAAAGGTTTTGTGGTTCAGTATTATCTCGAAAAGAACTGCCCATCAGCACACTCGAGCAACCCACATCTGATGAAGTGAAAAGCTGCAAGGATCTTCTGAATAAACACTAAACACAAAACTTAAGCTCAACATTTGCTTTAAGATTAATTTTTTTTTTAATGTCTTCCAACAAAGATTTTCTATGAACTTGAAGTCGCAACATTAGTCTACATTTGTAAGCCATTCAGGGGCAGAGACTGGTGCAGAGAGCTAATCCTTCAAGTTTTGCATCAATACAGCAATTAATTCATCAGCCGGTACCTCTGGTCTCCCAGAAAAGAGAACAGCTCAGATGCAAGGTCTAGAACGAGAAAGCTCATCTTGGCTTTGTCCACATTTCAGACCTCTAGATTTGATAGCGCTATCTTTGTTCTGACTTGCAAATTGAATAGTTAAAAAAAAATCCTGTGGTTTCAAGACTTACGACATCACGGTAGAAGATGCCTCACACTTTAAAGACTGCATCTGATAGCAGCAGCTAGAGGTAAGCCATGTTTTCCAGCTGTCTACTTTAACCTCAAGTTCAAGACAGATGGCACCTCAAAAACACTCCCCTCTTCTCCCACAAATAGAGTTTGTAAAACAAAGATATTAAAGGAATTATAACACACGATACTTGGCACCACAGCCTGCGTAGAAGTAAAGCACATCCACCCCAAAAGCAAAGTTAAGTGTTTCAGACGATGGCTGTGAGTGGATGCAGAATCCAGCTTCCAAACTCTTCCCTTTCCTTTCGATAGGAGGAACCCAAATACCTGGGTGCGGACAAGTCCCCAGCGCAGAACAGACACGGAGCAGGGATAGAAAACTGGGTTTTCCAGTTATTTCATTACCAAATGGATCAAGTATTCCTATACACTTCCGCTGACTTGGCCGAATCATTTGGGCTCTGCCCAGAAGGGCTGCTGTAACCCTTGTTTCTGTAAGACGTTAAGCTGCTTCCACAAATTAACGTTGATTTTTTTCAGAACTTAAAATAAAACCTTCTTTCCTCTGTTGTACCGCCACCCCGCAGCCTGTAAAGCCCTACAAACACCGCCCATGTGGGAATCACACCTTTCTGCAATAAGCAGAAATCTACTTTAGCCAACAGCAACTATTTCTTCTGACAAAGGTCCGTGTTTATTAAAATGGGCAAGAAATTTAGGTCTGGGATATTGACTCAATCCACTTAAAAAGCTCCTTCCAGCACTAAAAACACACAGAAGTTTTCTCTTTAGAGCAGTCACCATTTACCGTTCGGCAAACTCCCTACCTTCACCACCTTTATCCAGCCACTCCAGGCGAGACATTGCAGTAGGGCTGATGTACCATCTCTGCCCAAACAAGGAGCGATTGCGATTTGAGCGACAGCATGGTTCCCATCTGGGGTAAGAGCTGACATATGGATTTAACTCCCTTTCTTTCCATGTATTATGATACAAATATAATTTCATGTTTACTTGTACTGCTCGGGTTTTGCATAAATACAACGCAAGGCTGAAACGATGCCCGAAGCCAGAACAGTCTCTAAAAGAACCGAGAACTGCATAAACAACTCCACACTAACAAGTGTCTTTCAGGAATAACTTGCCATGATTTAGCTTGAAAAACTGAAGCAGACTTAAAAAGGGGAAGCTGTAGTTCCATCAAATATTTACGTTATGGCAGCTCTCACAAGTTTAAATCAGGTCACGGATCCATTATGCCGGCACTGGAGAGCTACAGCGAGCACCGATCCCGATTCTAAATCCTGTCTCTCTCTTGGAGGGGGGAGGGAGTTAAGTTTCTGATAAAACAGAATAGAAGAGAGGATGGGGGAAGACACCAGGTAACACGGTAACGT